AATCTGTTCTCAAACCCTTAAGTTGCTTTAACCTTAGAAAAGACTTTTTAAGGTTTCGTTACAACAAACTCAGTGATTAAATGTAGATTCCAAAGTCCTCTGGTCCAAGGTTAAGGTTAGATCCACCCCTTACTAGTGATAAGACCCCAGAGACCATATTTATTCTAAGTCTTGATTTCAGCTATGAAAATACTACCAGCCTCAGAGAGAAGCTGTAAGAAAAGACTGAATAATTCACGGATCACTGCACCCTGCAGGGTATACAGCAAGCACCACACACAGTGCTGTGTCGTCATGACAGTAACAGATCTTTCAGGAATTGAAGTTCTGGTGCTGGAAAATTTTCATTTTACTCTACAAAAATTAAAAAATAGTAGTCCTAAATGCAAAACATTAAAATTTTTTGCAGAGGGAAATAAAAATAGACATACTGCAATGCCAGGTTACTCTGAGACATAAACCTGGTACTTAAAATCCCAGCTGTCGAAGAAATAGTTTATCATTTCAAAGACTCTGTGAATCAAGCCTGCTTTGATGTATAGCTGCGACGATATTAACCACACATGCTGTATAGTGCAGTAAAGAGCACAAGTGAGAGAGTTAGGTGGCACAAGCTCATTTCCAAGGATGAGCCAGGGAAATCTGCACAACTTAAAGGCCTCTATTTCCTCATCTGTAAAAGGGAATAATAAAACATACTTTTTGTGTGCGGTTGTTGTGAGGATTAAATGAGCCTCCACCTATAAAGTAAGTAAAAACTGTAACTTCATGCACTATAATGGTCAATATATGTCCTCCAAGGAAAGACATGAATCCAGGAAATATAGTTGTCTTCCTCTTCAAGCCAGGAACTTGGCAGTTACCCTAGAATCTGATCTCTCCCTCTCACATCCTACGTACAATCCATTGCCAAGTTCTATTGAATCTCCCCCTAAATATCTGTTCTATGTAACACCTCCTCTCTACTTGCAGTCTCCACCCTGGTTCAGACCCTCAGCCTCCCCTGTGCCTGGATCCCCTTCAATACTTTCTAACAGTTCACCCAACAGTTGTCTACAACACCGATGCCTCAGTATGGTTTTAAATCATAAAGCTATTTAGTTACCCTCCTCTACACACCACCCTAACATCTGCTCAAGTCCCTCTCTCCTCTAGCAGGAGAATTTCTAAACCCTGTAAGGTGACTTACAAAGTTCTTCATTATCTGACCCTTGCTATTTTTCCAGCCATTTCTTCTGTCATACACTTATGCCCCCCTACCCTTGATAGGCATTCAAAACGGTGTTTGTTTACCACACACCCCAAAGTACCCTCTGACTTCGATCACAGTGGCCATGGGATCCTGAGCATGGGATCTGCTAGTCTTGATCTTTCGGCAATGCTCAGCTTTGCTGAGAACCTTCGAGTTGAATTAGAGGGTCTTCCTCTGGGCACCTGGTGACTCCCTTTACACACTTCATGTTGGGAGATTTATGGTGCTCTTATCTTTCTCCTCCCTTCGTAGACAGTTACTGTACTGTTGCCACTAAGCTTTGTTTAGTTTTGTGTCCATATTGATCCACAGAAATCACTGAATAAATGTTTGCTAATGAATGCATGAATGCAAAAAAGAAGCAATTCCTGCTCTGCCACTGACTAGTGTATGAATCTGATATCAGTGCTCAGTAAGGAAATTAACCATAGAATAAACACGTCATTTCAGTATATCCCATTGTATCATTCACATCTATAAAGAGGGGCAACTGCATAAATATTTCCTTTTTCAGTATAAAATTCCTTAGGTCACCTCAAAGTTTTTTGGGTCCTTGACAGAATGTAGTAAATATATACAAGTACCTATGCATGCATTAAAAATACTGCAGACATTACGGTCAATTCTCCTAATATCCCTCACGACTGAAAATGTGTTTTAAAAGCCAGTGATCCAAAAAAAAGGGATCTAAAAAGCCAGTGGAAACAAGAGGGTGCAGGGCTCATGCAACACTGGGCCAGATAGTGACCTTCATCTGTGGGCTAGGGATCCCGCTGGGTGCAGGGGATATAAAGAGTTCCTCTCTGAAAGCAGCTTCGTGAGGATATGGATCCAATATTAACCTGCCCAAAGGCACTCTGCCACCTTGGCACACCTCCCAAGCTAAGCAGCCCAACAGGACACAAGGAGACTAAAGGGTACAAATGTGTCAGGGAAGAGCAAAGGGAAGGTGTGTGTAAGGCAGATTCATAAGTGTATTAGCAAAATACATTTTATGACATACTCATTAAAACTTACTTTTTTTTTTTTTCTGCTTCAAACAGAAAAGATGGTGGTAAAGAGATTAAAGCCTCATTCACCCAGATGTATTTCCTTTAAACAACTTGGAAGATTTTTTTCACCTTGGCATTTTTTAAGTTGCTATCAAGAGTAACGTATGTCTATAAAATCTAATTATAAATTCTTAGATAGTCCCTACTTTTTTTAAACTGATAATCACTTATTCACCTTTCAATATGGTTAAAAGGCCAAATGTGTGACTCACTGGGTTTTCTAAAAATCTGCTGAAATAGAATCCAGTGTTAATTATATATACAGTGTGATTTAATTATAATATTTAGTAATATCCCATACTGTATGATGCTGTGTCATATGTATACAATCAAGAAAGACCCACCTTGGACTTGTTCATATCTAAATTGTAGGGGTGCCAAGAACCAAATTCCTTATTTCATAAATTAGATACTCTAAGTTTTACCTATGCTTTTGTATTTTATTAAAGTACTCATATTACTTTTATATAATTAAAAGATCCTAGAGGCTATTTCTGCATGTAAGCAAGAGCAACTATCCCCACAATAACCCACAAAATATTTAAAGCAGCTCTTCCAACTGTCATGGGGTTTAAAATTTAAAGTACCCTATACACCTTAGATTCTTAGAAAAAGGTAGGAACGAGAAAGTTGAAACAATTTACTTTGTAGAGAATGCATTATATATGCTATACCACTGAAAATATTCTAGAGTGTGTCTTCAAATTAATTAAATCCTCACTTTGCACATTGAAAGTAGACCATGAAATCAGTTGACCATGAGTATTAGATCGCCAGTAACACATGTACCTTTGTAGGGCATTTACATGTACAGTGTGATGAACTAACAAGTACATAAGCAATGAAAGTGTTATCCACGAGTCATTTTGGATCTACTGTCTGAGTGTTCTGAGAACAAAAAACATTTAAATCTGCTTGCACATTGACAATAGCGATATTGATATTTCTCCATGTTCCTTTCTGGTTGCTAAGAGATTTACGTTGGACAGACTGTTGTACTCATAACAAAGCATTTTGGTCCACAAAGCATTTGCTTCAGCTCAGTAAGTCCAGAAACTCCCTTTGCCTCACCCTTTCTCTGTTTTGCTTCCAGGTCAAGCAGGGGCCTAGGCACAAAGGCTGGGGGCCAGTCATCATGACCCGGAAACTACTGTACAGAAACCCGGGTACAGGTAGCCATTCTTATATGTTGCAATGATGATCCCATACCTTTATATACAAATTTATGTTCCCTCCCCTATGCTTCTTTAAAGCCAGTTTATCATGGTGGGATGGGTAGAGGTATAGAGAGGGGAAACCATGGCAAACTACCCACAGACAAACCTAATGTAATAAAATTAGACCAGAATATAGCAAAACGTGGCAATTTCATAACAACTCCGCTGGGTGAGGCTTTGAAATATACGTGCACAAAATTTCCTAAGTTTGTACTTTTGTGAAGCTATATTCCAGAAGTTTATTTACAAGAACAATGAAGTGGGAGCTATCTATATTTAACATCTTGCAGCAAAAACAACTGCAGCCCTCCAAACTCACTCTCAATAAAGTCTGCCATGCAACAAAAGGCAGAGAGCCTTCTTCTATGGATCGTAACTTTGAAGAAAATGGCACAGGCACCAAAAATATTCACGATCACTCCTGAAGAGAGGTACATGTGGTGGATGAAATCTGCCTGTCATTTACAAAGCACATGCATCACTGCTCAGAGCAAATTAAGATCATCTTTCCCTGGGGAATTCTCACAAAGAGACAGGACAATGCTTTATGACCTGACTTCTGTATTCAGATCACAGAGTTTTAGTCAATTTCTATTAATTGTCCTGGAGGAAAAGTACTTTGGGGCCTCACTCCTTGGTTGGTACCTAAGAGTCATATTTAAGGGCACAATTACCAAACACTCAGTAAGTACTCTCAGGCTGTAATAAAACACTGCTGACCCAGAATCTCCTGTTTCCCCCTGCATTAGAATATCAGTAGGGGATGATCAATGCCCATACTTTGAAACGAAGCAATCAGTGTGGAAGAGTGCAGGTCTCTGCCATTTCATGGGAATTGGGGATCATCTCTCTCGCCCGGGAGGAAAAAACAAACCTCTGTGGTTTTAGCTTTACTGAACAAAAGAAAGTTATTTCCATTGCACAACGGAACCAAAAGCACCTTATAGCATAAAAAGCAAAAGAAAAGAAAAAAAAGCAAAGCAGGAAATGACTTTTCTGCTACGTCTTTAAGGTCACAGATCTGCCTGAGAAATGCACACATGTGACACAGTTCTAGCACAAAAGCTCCTTTTCCACACGACAGACCTCTGAGAAGTACAAAGGCCGGTTCTCTGGCCTCTCCCTGCACTCTAAGTCACCGCAGTCCATTTAACCTTGATCGGGCAGGGAAGAAACTACTTTTAACTCCCTTGCAGCACCTTCCTGTGTCATGGAAACATACCCGTGCCTAGGGGATGAGAAAGCACACCTTCCGCATCAGCACTGCAATCACCCCCACACAGGCTAAATCGTCCCCTGCATTGCCCATCCTATGACCATGGTGTACCAAAGGGTCTTTTCATCTGTTCCCAATTTCCACACCCAATTTACACTCCACGCAGCATGTAAAAATAGCCCTTCATGCTTCTAACAGATGCCAGGAGGAGATTAAAACAAAAAGAACCCAGGCAAGAGCTCTGCTCTGGCAGACATAGCTACCTTTTTCTTCCGATCCCGGGACCGTTTGCGGTGTTTCCTTTTTTTCTCAGCCTCGTCTTCAACATTGATTTCTATATCCCTGTTTTTCTTTAATTGCGAGGCTGCATGAGCCATAATGCATTGAAATAGATCCTCTCAAGCACGCAGGGCTTCCTTTACAAGGTGATATCCTCAGGCACCTTTAATCAGGCTTACAGCAGCATTCCAATCACAGGAGAGAAACCTTTGACTAGAAGCAGGAAGTCATTCAAAATGCAAAGATGCTGGAGAAGCTGAAGCTTTTAAAAACCCAAACAACGGTTTCCAGACTTCATCCTACACCTTCCTCTACCTGAGCCTTTACACAAGAGTGCAGCCATCGTAATGCATTTACCGTAGTGAAAAAAGACAGCTGGGACAGAGGAAGCTGTATTATGGCTGTATCCCCTGCCACCAGCTGGAAGTGTCTAAGTGATTCCTCGGAAGGGGGAATGCTGCATAGGATGCTGCTCTGAAGGGAAAAAATCAAGAGTCACCACACATGCAGGAGCAAAAATCCAGCACTAATTCTGAAAACCTATTTTAGAATCCTTCGAAAAAAAGACAGGGCTGCAATTTATACATCACCACTAGATCTGCACGGAGCATAATTTAACCCGTAATAGAATGGAGCAGTTCCTACTTTAGTTCAACTGCTGATGGTGACAAAATATATAAAATAAGATTTCACCCAATGCACTAGATTTTGCTTTGGAGATCCTGCCTGCATTGTGGGGGAAACAATGCATGCATTGCTCCCCTCAACAGTGTGTCCTTTATGTGAACTATCAGCCTCAAAGCATTTTGTGGGAGAGAACTACAGAAGGGCCTGTTGTCTTTTAAAAACAACATGCTGATTACAACACATCATACAGAAAGAAGTGAGCATGTTGGTGTATGGAACAGATGCCCGATTGATAGGAGTTCCCCAGGACTCTCCTCTCATGTGGCCTGAGGGGTCATGGGGAATCTGTGCTGCGGTCAGGGTCTCTGAATCCCTGCGATCTGGCTTCCATGTTCGGGTTTGCTTCAATCACCTTACTATTTTTGCCACCTGAGTCCTCAATGACTGCAGCCTCTGAATATTCATGATGTGAAGTGAAGCGGCAACAGGCCTCAAGGCCTGCTGGGGTATCTTCTGCTAGGATGCACCCACTGGAAGAAATTTAATAAGTCAGGAATCATTTATAAACACACACGATACTCACACAGCTTTAGAAAGAAACAGCTGAGCTGTTAGTCTGGGTCTAGTATTTTGAAGAAACCCTAAATTCACCAAGAAAACGAGCAGGATAAAAAAAACAAAATGATCATGCACTATTGAAAAGAGCTAGTCTGTGCTTTCAATACCAAAAGGATATAACTTTGTAGGATGGGGTTTGACTCTGCAGGACAGACTACCAAAGTGTGTGATGGTGGAAGCAAAAAGTTCAGCAGTGTCCTGTAAGGATCAAGTTCTCTGCTTCATAAAAACTTCAAGTGTGAGCCCATGCAAACAACTTCTACTCACCAGATTTCTGATTTGGACATCAAAGATCTTCTGCTTTCCCTTAGAGGGTGCCTTACACTCTTGCCTGACAGCAATTGGCAAAGGAAGGGAAAGCACTGTGGCCATGGCATTGCACTCACACTGCAAGTCCCCTGGAGCCTCACTGAACCATATGAAAATTGCTCTGCTCCAGCAGTTCATGAGGTCCTACTGTGTGCAAGAAGGCTCTTGAGGCCCTACTGTGTGCTTGCTTTCTCATGGAAACTCTCTTACTGAAGTTAGAGTTCCAGAAAGGTTCTCCATTGTCTATGAAATGTCTGACAAAAAGGAGGGAAAAATGAAGGAGGGGAATTCAGTAGAACTCAGATCCAAAAGGGAGGGATCAACCATATTTGGATCTTCATAGTAAAAAACAGTTTTTCTACTAGAAGAATTTCTTACGATAGGTAGAGAAAAGAATAAAAATGAAAACTTTTGTATCCTTTCTCCTATAAAAATCATCCTGTACTTTGAGGAACATTCATACAATTTCCTTTCTTTATTTTCAGCAAGTTGAAGAGGACAGCCAGCTAAAAAGCTGGCTTATTTCCCACTGGCTTCTCGACCTTCTTTTGTTCATTCTTTAATAGGCACCAAATGAGACTTTAAATATATTTATAAGTATCCTTGATGAAGGTAACTTCTCCATCTCAGGCTGGCAAAGCACTAGACTTTCTCATTTAGCAAAAGTATAGTCAGAAATTCAGAAGGGAGCCCACAGGCATTTTTCAGCACATTTCTCTTTAGAAAAATCCTTTGCTTTTTCAAAATATTCCAAAGCTAAAAATTCATCACAACTTTCTACCACCATAATATGAAATTTTTTGCTACCTTGGCTTTTACTTTATCTCAGTGAGTGATTAACCATCAAAAATAAATTCTACATTCTAATTGCTTAGATTTTCTTTCTTACTGAAATGTGGACTTTCGTCTTCCATTTCTCAATTAGAACTGAAGGGAGGCCAGAGATTTCTGAAATTCTAAGTGTTTAACCCCCTTTCACTCTACCCAGCACAACCCCAAGTAACTCTCAAGCTCCTCGTACATTTACTCATAAAAGATGCATTTACCCAAGATAGTCACAAATTTTAGATTTTTCCTTACAAGTGATAGCTCTGGAAATTTTAGAAACCAAGCCATTATAATTGAAAATAAACATGGAAAGAATTTTTAGAAACTTTATTCTGAAGTTTTATAAGACTTGTTTTACTTGTTCTCTCCTGAGAGATTATAGAATTCGTATGAATCTTCAGACTACAGCTGGTACAAGCGTTACTTTTGAACAGAGGCTGGTCTCAGAGAGAAAGAAGAATGAGATGCATCATGGAATTATCAAGCTCCCATCTGAAACAATCACACAAGGTTTTAATTGATTTCAATGGTCACCCCCACAAACTGTAATTTCTCCCCTGACCTTGATCATGAGGGGGTAACAGGTAGGACTTGCATAAGAGGGAGATGGCCTGTGAATGGAGTATTGAAACTACTGAAAGTTAAGGGAAAAAAAATTCAAATCACTTCTCCCCAAAACAAAAGATTCTGATCTGGCTTTATAAAAGTCCCAGGTACAGGAATTCCTAAACCATCCTTTTAAAATAAAGTTAAAGAGTGATCTTTCGACTTTAATTAGCTATAGAAATCTTTCTATAAATAAATCCTATAAAAAGGGCAGTTATAATAAAAATAACAGTGAAAAGTCTTGGTTGAATTGATGTTCTAGATCCTCAGCTTTTTTGGCTCCTTCATCCTTTCTCTAGAAGAAAGTTTGGGTGAGCAGAGCCCCAAAACAAGCACACTCAGCAAGGGGGAGTTGTGGTCTTTTTCTTGGTTGCATCTTTGTTCCCAAAAGCTATCTACAAAAGTAACTCTTATTAAAAATTTCCTCCTAATTTTGTCTAAAATAACTCCGATTTTTTTTACAGAAGCAAGAAGTTTCATCTAGAGGACTTCCTATCCATATATCACTTAAGGATAAAACTAGTTCCAAAAAAAGCAAACCTCGTCTTTTTTCAGGAGACCTGCTCCGAGTAATTTATACCCCCGATAACTTCTAACTCAGTAGTCAAAAAATGATTAAACCTTACAATAAAAATGAAACTGAATCAATTCATTAGAATATAATGCAGATTTTAGATCCCATAGTCAAGGAATCTGTTCTCAATTTTTGCATACACCTTGCCAGGATTTCAAGGCAGGCTTTGAACATGACCTCAGTCAATTAATAACTTTGACTACTTCCAGGAGTCACATTATATTGTTTCACCATATTCCTGAGCTGGAGGAGCATGCAAACAAACAATGCATGTGTTTGCTAAGGAGATGATACTGACACTTGAAAACCTATTGTATAGTGAAGCAGAAGAAAGGACAGCACAGGAATGTAAGGGAGCATGGAGGATGAGAGAGCAGAAACAGAAAAGGTTCCAATCTGCCAGGGGTGCCAGCTCCACCTTCCACCCTTGCCCCCAGTTCTTAGAAATGAGGAAAGCGTATGTTTTGAAGGAATGAGAAGTACTTTGTGCTGCACCCACTACAACTTTCTCAGAAGTAGAGCAGAATCACCATAAAAGAGTCAAAATATTTTTCCTTTACAAAGAAAAATGGATCCATCGTCATTTCTTTAATTCTGGCATCCTAGAGAAAGATGATGTCAAGAGAACCTGGAACAGGTCTGAATAATGTGGGGAACAAGAGAGAAAACAAGCACTAAACCTGTCAAAGGTTATAAATGACAAGGAAAGCACCCTGAGAAACTCTCAACTCATAGTCACATACTCGTTATTTTCAGTTGTGAAACGTGAAGTTCTTAACAACAAAACGACCATGGCTGGACAACACTTCTTTCCACCTCCCCATGGCAGGAGGCAACTTTGGATAAATGAGTGCTGGCCTGATTTCCATCTGCCTTAGCACTTGTTCTGTGCCCTCGATCCCTGGAGCAGACTCTGTCCAACTAACTGGCCTGACCTCAGCACTGGAGAGAGCCAGCTGGCCCCAAGCTGCCAGCTGCTTCTGTGGCCTCACATAGCCAGCAGCAGGGGGCAGGCACAGAGAGGCGGTTTCAACAGTGTGTCTCTATCACACCCACTTTTCCCAGATAAAAGGAGGCGACCCCCCCCCCCCCCAAAGTCACATTCTGGTCTCTGTGGACCTGAAGGAGTAGACTAGTGTTGCCTGGTGGGGCACTAGATTCAAAGCCAGCACCCAGAGTGGGGAACAAACATAATGTACTGATCAACCACTTTTTCTCTGGGCCCCTGTACCCATAGGAGGAAGTAAGGGGACAAGATGACTTCGAAGACTCTCTCTCATAAATCTAAAATGCTGTGATCTGAGGTGACAGAAGGTTATGGGCATTTGGACAATGCATAGGAAAGGGTTATTTAAGACAAACTTATAATTTGTGCTAGTCAATAAGTAGCATACAGAGTTATCTCTTGAGCAACAAAATGTGACTTATGAGGTTGGAGAACTGAGTTTTAAATTTCACTTAATTGAAAAGTTAAAAAACACTCAATTTAGGTACTGAAGCACATTAAGCATTTTTGGAACAATTTGGATATGTGAATCTATTTTTTCAACTTTAGAGCTTATGAAAAAAGTACAGATCAAGTATTTCTGATGAAAATCCCAGTTGAGATATAAAATACACACTAGATTTCAAGTCTTAGTCTGAAAGAATGTAAAACATGTCAGTAATAATTTTATACAGTGATCCAAGATAAATAATATTTTAGATATTCAGCTAAGCAAAATACACTAAAATTGCTTTTAAAAAATCTTTTTAAATGTGATTACTAGAAATTTGAAATTGTGTGTGTGGTTCATAATGGTTTCCTATTGGACAGTGCTCACCTACATGAATAGCTTATATTAATAAACAGATAGCTCAGTTTGGCAGAAATTATCATCCTGAAGGCAGATATTTCTCCAAACAAGCATTAAAAGACACTCAGCAACTAGTTATGATGTTTTCTATTTGAAGAGGTGAAATACAAAAACATAGTATGATCATGGGCACTTGTGCTGAAAGCAGCATTAGTGTACTCATCTCTGCTCATTCTGTCTGCTG